ATGCTATATAGTTATAGATATAGATAAAATCTTGTACAAAAAAACTTCGGATGTATAAAGACGTAAAATCTGATCATTTCTCTGTTAGGTCATCCATTTCGTTCTAGAAAATAGATATAAAATCAGTTATTTTTCTTTGCTTTCTTTGAAAAAAGCAAAAGAATATAAATTGTCAAAAACCGTAATCTAAAAAATATACATAACAAATATACTTTTTTTCAAAAATCTTACTTGACAAAAAATCATGGGCAGTGTTCTTTCAGTTGTGCGTAATGAAATTGAAGACATTGAAGATGATAAAACTCATGAAATGGAAAAGTCCCTTAGAATGTTAGACTTTATGGAAATTATGTTGAAATCTAAAATGGAAAGTTTCGCAAATTTATTAAAACATCAACCGGACGACATGCAGGTGCTTCCTCCTGGAATTATTGTAGACCAGGTTACTGAACACACTTACAATGCCAAAAAAAGTAATCCCTCAAAAGTAGGTATATTATTATTCGACAGTTTTTTCTAATCTTTTCTAATCTTAAAATACTTACTCTAATCTTTTCTAATCTTAAAATACTTACTCCTGTTTTTTCTAATCTTTTCTAATCTTAAAATACTTACTCTTGTTTTTTTCAAGGCTGTTGAGAAAGTAATAGATCGCTTCTTAAGCAATGATATTATATCAGGATTTAAAGAAGTGATAACATATTCAGTAAATGCTATCATTAATAATCAAACCCTTGGTGAAAGTTTCCGTAGAGAATGTCATTTATTGATTGAAAATAATGCCTTAGTTCGGATAGACATTCTATTCTACAAATATGATTTTGGTTCTGATGGAATTACTACGCAACTTCATGATTTATTTTGTTACATGTTTCATAAAAGCGTAATTCCAGCTGAAAAATTAGACCATAATTTATTAGTTTATGCCATTTCTAAATATATTAACAATACCAACAAAGACATACCAAAACGTAATGAGGCTATTAAAAAGTATATCAAAGAGTGGAAGGATTTTCGTA